TCCGCCCTACTACCGCGAGGGGGCGGCACTAGCCTGGTGGGCAGCGGTAGTGCGGCTCCTGGAGAGTGGTACTACCGTGGGCACCTGCGGTACTATTGCGCCACCGAGCGGTACTACCGTGGATGCCTACGGTACTATCGCTTTCCTGGGAGCAGTACTACCGCGATCAACCACAGCATCCAGACAAGGGAGGCAAGAAAACGGAGAAATCTCCAAGGGAAAAGGAGGGGACAAGAAGAAGACGTGTACGCGATGATTCCACCCAAACCTTTTCAATGCGGACCCGCTCTTAATAGTACGGCTTTTCTACGAGTCAAATCCACCAAAAAGAAACGTAGAAAAGACGCCGTCTTCATCTCGAGGGGCACCCAACCGTCTTGTGCCTAGCAATGAAGTGTCTGGAATACTCAAGGCACACGATTAATCCGTAAATACGTTGTCATCAATCACCAAAACACTTAGGGATAAATATGCCCTTACAATATGGATGAAAACGTAGCAGAAACGGATGGAACTGGGTGCCACCACATTTGTTTTCATATTTCTTTATGGAGGTGGAAACAAATACAAAAGCCGCTGAAATAAATATGGAAACGAATATTACCGGAAACGAAAATGGAGCGAATAGATCACAGACATGGAGACGGGAGCGAAGTGTTCATCGGAAGTAGTGACCCCTTGAACCAAAGACAAAAACAAGAAGCCGATAAAGTTGTCTAGTTGATAAGATGACTACTAAATATTATGATATATCATGGCTCTATACTCTATAATAGGATATGTCATCGATGGGGGCGTGCTTGCTTTGGGATTAGGGGTTCTAGTCGTGTGTTGCCATGCTTGATGGAGTAAATCTAATGCAGACGTTGGGCCATCTGAGCCATTCTGCTCGTCGTGTGTAGGGCCTAATTGTGTGTATGCTGGGCCATAAAATAGCCATGTGCTCACATTCAAAACGCAAAGTTCCATATTAATGGAAACGGAAAAATAGCCATGTGCTCACATTCAAAACGCAAAGTTCCATATTAATGAAAACGGAAACTTCCATTTCTACGCATGTTCCATCGTAAAACATTGTTCTGTCTCCATTTTTGTTTTCGCATAAAAAATTGTGTTTTCATTTTTGTTTTGCAAATTTCCATTTCCGCTTCCATTTTTCCTCTCCATTTCTATTTTTTGCTGGAAAAGCGGAAAGTTTCCGCTCCATTTCCATCCCTATCTGCGGATACGTTTTTTTGCTGGGAAAAGCTAGTTTGATCGAGGATCTAGAATTGCTTTACCTAAGCAAGTATAGTGAAGTCGCCTCCATTTTCGACTTCTATTGTGACAGAGGGATGTAATATCATAATCGAGAGAAAATCATGATTAATTTTTTTAATTAGACCGAGTTACTTCGAAATCCCTTTTTATCAATTTCTTTATTACCCCAAGGGGACTATCCTATTGGCGGGGTATCATTATTGAGCGATCGCTAGCTATCTGGAAATGGAGTGTTAGTTTTAAACAAAGATTGTGTGGGTGTGAAGTATATTGAAGATCAAGGTTTTCCTTCTTATTAACTTGATCAAAGAGGATAAAAAATAATAAATGACCAACAAAACTTCGAGTGAGTAGCTTAACATGAGGAGGTGGCGAGTTAGTAGGGGAAGAGATTTTCAAAAGGTAGGTTTTCGACAAGGCTACGGTCTAACTTTTTCTTCCTAGCGGTGTTCAATATGAAAATAAAGGCGCTCCATGTTGGGAATGGCGTACTATGTACGGTTGGTATTTCAGGTACAACTGATCAGGGTTAGCACGAAATTGAAATATCAAAACTGTAAACAATTATCCACACAAAGATATGTTTTGTAACTATTTGGTATCGGTTTTCAATCGGGTTATGGAATGCAGACACTCACAGGTATGAAATTCACTTACTTGGACATTAGAGAATCTACACTGAGAACAATATGTCTTACAACCCATGACCTTATGGAACTATTCACACATGAAGATCAGATCACATGAACAAATCATTAAAGAACACATCATGAAGATTGATTGATTCATAATATGTCTTACAATGGATGCCAGATGTGATATCCATTACAAAGTATGGCTAGCTGGCTGAGTACTACGGTGGTGGTGATGATGGCGGCTATGGAGATGTAGGTATGAAATGGCGGCGTCTAGGGTTGTTGTGGATAATGAAGATGGCGCTTTCGACGGTGAAAGATGTTGTTTCTGGCGTTGACCTCTTCACGGTATTTGTAGTGGTGGATCAGAGGGTGCCCCTGGCAGGCCATACAATAGCGCATACAAGTGTGTGCGGTCGTATGGAACATCATCTTTTGCTCTGGCTCCCACTTGATCTCCTCTATCTCATGTTTACTCATTTCCATGTATTGCCTTGATTTTGTTCATAAATAGTCCATTTCTTGTGGAAACAAACTAAATATAGGATATTTGGAATCCTTTGCATTCATTAGTCATTAGTGGCAATATTAAAGCGAATATCTTGGTTTTTATGAAATATCTTGGTTTACACTCAGGTTTGACAAGCTTAAAATAAACTTTCATTAGAATGACAATCAAAAGTATAGATACATTTGGGACGTACCAGACAGCCACCCAGGGATGCCGCCCCGGCACCCAAGACCCACACTCCATGCACCACACCAACTACTGTTCCACGAACACCGAAGGAAACCACCAAACCATGACGAAGGCGCAAACTGGCCTCACCCCAGGGTTTCCCCTAGTTATCCCTGTGGAAGCCTAAATTTGTTGGGCAGCGGTGATGGTCTTGGTGTTGTATCCTCCTTGAAGGTGCCAAACTGGGAGCTTTGTGCTTTGTGGTCGATGGGTGTTGTTGGGTGCGGGTGGGGTTGGCAGTTCTGTCCTTCGTCATCCTAGTTTGAAGCTTCCCCTTCTCTATGGGATGACTGTGGGCAGCGGCGTTGTTCTGCTTGAGGAAAGCCAGCGTCGGATCGTCGGGTGTGCGCTAACCCTCTTTGTGTGCCCATCTTTTGGCGGCAAACATTACTGTTCTTGGGGGAGCATATCCACCTTTTTATGGTGCAACGCCTTTCGATCCAGGCGAGGAGGTTGTGGCCTTCTTCAGAGGTTGGTTTGGATGGATGTGTGGTGATGGGGCCCTTAGTTTTCTGGTGATGGCATTCCCTGTCAGTGGCAGTCATCCTTTCTCCTCCAGAGCCAACATGTTTTAGTCTCTAGTGCTTCATTCGCAGTTGAGGACCTCGTGTGTGAGCGCTCGATTGTTAGGTTGAACGGGATTACACTCATACCCCAAGTGGCAGTCAGGGCCGGGCCCACAGTGGTGCAGAAAGTGCGGCCCGCACAGGGCCCAAAATTCTGGAGGGCCCCATATTTTTCATATAGGTCTAGTAATAATTCAGCCCTGCTGCCTACTGGGCCGAGCGACTAGGCCCATCGGCCATCAAGCCAGAGCGACGAGGCATCGAGCGCGACTCCTCCTACTTGATCAGAGTCGATCGCTGCATTATCTAAAAAAGAACTAGATCGCTATAGGGAGTCAGGGATCGGGATCGTGGCGGCTACAGGAAAAGAACTTCTCGTCCGCTCGTCGCCTGGAGGCTGGAGACCTCGAGTCCTCCATGCCGACGCCTTGCCCCTCGTGGCTCTGCCTCGGTCCCTGCGTCCCTGGTCCTTAGATCGGTTGGAATTCGGATTCAGGCCGACTAAGCGTCAGGCAGCTGCCAGAGTGCCGCCGTTGCCTTTCTCGCTTCCTTTCTCAAATTTCAGACTCGTCAATGTCGTCTCGTCCGATTGGGTGATGACCGACTCTAGCCTTTAAGTGCTTAAGTGAGTCCTTCTTTTTGATTAACTTTGGTCTCTATATACTCGTAATCCCTTATTTTCTAATTAATTATTGACATGGATCGTTACTTCGTTAGAGGTTAGTTCTTACCTCATAGGTTAAAGATCACAAGACTGAGATTAGGTGAGTTAGACGGTTCATCTAATTTCCAAACATGGACACATAATCATTCCTGTCACAGTTGCATCGGCAGAAAGAAGATTTTCTAAATTGAAGCTATTGAAGTCCTATATGTGTACCACTATGATACAGCAAAGACTCAATGACTTGGCCATAATAACACTTGAGAGTGAACTGTTGGAGAAGATTGATTACGAGGGTATCATTGAAGATTTCATTACAAAGAATACTACAAGAATGAGGATGTTCAAATAAATAGCAACCGTGAGTTCGACAGGTATGACTTTTTAATATGACCAATTGTTATGTAAGACATTATATTATATACATTATAATTTTTTTCTGTGATATATATATATATATACATATATATACATACATATACATTATAATTACTCGTTAGTTCATTATTTTGTAAAATAGGGCCTCGGATTTTGCCGGCCCGGCCCGGTGGCAGTCATCCTTTTTCCTCCAGAGCCAACATGTGTGAGCGCTCAATCGTTAGGTTGGAAAGAAGTGTTACACAAGGATTACACTCATACCCCTAACCTGCACTAGTCAAGTTTTGGACTCGCTCCACCGTCGACTATGCGACTAGCCGTGGCGTCACCGGCTCCCACTCGTTCATGGCTCACACTCGCCGTTTAGTCTGTGGCCATCCACGACCTTCCCGTTTCTCGCTTGGGGCGAAGCAGAGAAGTGACCGACACGATGAAAAATTTCAGTTACCTGATGTTTTACAAAACTGAAACAGGAAAACTTCGAGCACGACAAGCCACCAAATGAAATGCCCAACCTTGTAGTAATAATCATAACTGCCACTGTAAATATGCAATCACATTTATACATAGCCTCTTTTTTTTTGCGAAAGCACACTTATACATAGCCTAATGCCATTCCGCATTTGTAGTCCTCGTCTCGAAAGAAAAATATAAAACACTAGCTCACTTAACGATTACTATTACTCACTTAACGATGCCTGGTTCATACTAGTACTCTGCAGCATACACGTACTCGTACAAGCAGAAGCAAAAATCGGTCAGGCAGCTCTGGCCAGCTCCCTGTCCACGGCCACCTTGAGAAAGCTTCCCTCCTCGACCACCATCTGCACCGGCACGAACCCGAGCCCGCTGGCCACGGCGAGCATGACCTCCTTCATCTCAGCCCTGAACTCGTCGCGGTCCACGGTGCCGTTGCCGTCGTGGTCGAAGCGCGCGAACAGGCCGCGGTAGAGCCCCGCGAGCTCGTCGGGCCCCAGGGCGCCGGCCTCGTCGACGCCGAAGTGCTTCTCCAGGACCCGGAGGCTCATGAGCTCCCGGGCCATCTCGGCGTAGGAGAGCAGGCCGTCGTGGTTGGCGTCGAGCGCCGCGAAGCGGCCGTCGACGGAGGCGTTGAAGGCGCCCTCGTCCTCCACGAAGCTCTGCACCGTCTTCCCGTCCAGGATCTCCACGCTCATCTTGAAAAGAAATCTCTCTGCTGCAACTGTGTTGGAGTTTCAGGAGTTTCTCGTGTTGTGTGTTGTGATCTCGGCCGGTTTGTGGACGTGGGGAAGAGGTGTTGGCCCTTGGCCGGTATTTATAGCTGGCGCTGCTTCATTTGGTTTACGGTGGTCGGCAATATCGCTGTGGGATGCGCCGAGGTTGACGAGACTCGCTTCAGATGTAAGCAAAGTCTCTCCAAAGTAGTAGTGCTAGTAGTATAGTATTTTGTCTTCCCCACAGAATCGTGTGGTGTTGGCTGGTGTCGGCCGCGTCGCACAAGGGTGTTGACAGCAACGGCGGCGTCTCGTGCTGAAGAATTTTAATACGCGGGCAATATGCGTAGGTGCGACGACATGGAAAGCCCTCGAAGCAAAGGCCATGACATGGACACTGATCGGTCATCGGTCAAAAGAGTAACGACGGCCGACTACGAGTCGTCGTACGCGCACCGTACGCCTAGCTCAAGGCCCCTGTTTCTCCTCCTCACACGGTTTACAAGCTTGCTGCAGCTGTGGGATCTGGATCATGCGAGTGTTAGAGCAACTTCAACCAAATGAACATGAATTTTGTTTGCTTTTTATCCGTTTGGATCACCTATTGTCGATGTTCGCATTTTGATTTGAATCAGTTAGTGCGTCCAACGGGAGCGAATGCATGTTTTGACATGTCCATCAGGACATTTTGTCGAACACCTGATGGGCTAGTCCTCTGGAACAGCCCCACGCCCGCCCGTGCTCCCGCGCCCGCCCCGCCACGTGCCCCCGTGCTCGTAAGACCGCGCATGCTCATCTGCTCGAGCGTCCTCGTACGTTTCCTCTCTGCCCTCACGTCCGCCGTGCCCCGCGCTTCGCTCGCCTCCCCACGCTCGCCCCACCCGCTCTCGCCCATGCTCGCGCCCGCACCTCGAGCGCTCGCTCTCCCGCCCGTGCCCGCCTCACGCGCCCACAAACCCCGCTTCTGCTCGCACTCGCGCCCGCTCCCGGCCGTGCATCCGCGTCACGCCACAGTACGCGCCCCGCTCCAGCAATAGTGGCGGGGCGAGTGCGGCCCGAGCTCGACGAGGTCGGGCGAGCGCGGACAGGAGTGTCGGCCGTGCGCGAGGGAGGCAAGGCCGGGCGCAGCTCGCACTACTACGGAAAAGCCTATACACAGAATCTTACCAGTAGCGTTGTACAGAATCAAACGCTACTGCTACTTAGTAGCAACGCGCGTGAATAAACCGCGCTACTGCTATGACTTTTGCAGTAGCGCGTACTAGCGAAAAGCATTGCTGCTATGTTTGAACTGGGCGCGCATGGCTAGCCCAACCTAGCAGTAGCGCGTATACTGGCCCAACGCTATTGCTACTCTCCTTAGCTGTAGCGCGCTTACGTGTAAGGCGCTGCTACTACCGGAAATAAAATAAAGTAAAAAACAAGTAGAAAAGTAAATGAAAATGAAAGAAATAGAAAAAGGAGAAAGGAAAAAAATAAAATGTAAAGAAAAATAAAAAAAGGGGAAAAAGGAGAAAGGAATAGCAGTAGCGGGTTTCAGAAAACACGCTATAGCTAACTTAGCTATAGCGCGTTTTCGGAAACGCGCTACCGTTACGTTTCACTTAAACAGAGGTCCCCCCCCCGCCCCCCGGCCACCACTTCTTTCCCAAATTCCTCGCCCTCGCCGCCGTCTCCCCAATTCGCCGTCGCCCCACTTCGCCGCCGTCTCCTACCGGCGTGCACGCCCGCAACCTCACCGTCTCCCCCCGAGGCCGCCGTCATCCTCACCGCCGCCGCCCGAGACCGCCCTCGACGTCACCGTCGGCGCCCTCCACCTCATCGCCGCCAGAGCCCGCCCAGGAC